TGTCTTACAGATTTTACCAGCATTTTTAATTTATTATCTCAAAACAGAGTAATAAAACAAACGTAGTAAGTGTTGCAACTGGATGCGCGACCAGAAAAATAAGGATAATAACAAATACAAGCAGCAGTTAAATTGGCGACCGCGGCACGATGAAACCTTATGAAACCTTACCGGAAATTAAAAGGTTCAAGTTTACAGAATGTCACGAGCATCAAAAATGGTTACTACGGCATGCTACGATAGCTTGCTTATTTGGAGATTTAGAAAATGCAAGAAGGTTGCTAGGTACTGAGGGATGAACTTCTCATAATTTAATGTAAGTTATAAAAAAAATCAGCATACTGCTCTATAAGGTCCTTGCTGCTTTAAATTATATACTCAGAAAGTTTCCATACTCAATACTCTTTGTTTTTGACCCAGAGTAGAGCTCTCCTAACCTTTTTATTACTTTTTTGAATTTTGAAAACTTTTTTGATACCTAGTAGTTTTCCTGCTTCTTTTAAATCTTCCAGTACTTTTGTTATAGAACCTAACAGTGTCCGTTTTTGGTGCTCATGAAATTCTGCTGACTCGAACTGATTAATTTTTAAAATTGTCAGTTAAATAGGGTCATGCTGTGGTTGTCAGTTTAATTGTTGCAAATTAATATTATTATTGGTTTGGTCGTACACGCAATTGTAACGCTTGATTTATTAGTTTTATTACTCTGCTTTAAGATTGTAAGTTATAGATTTGAGACAGAATTTGCAAGAAAAGCTTAAGAAAACAATTCACTAGACTGTAAGACAATGATATGTTAAAATACAATCTGTATAGAGGAAGATAACCAGATAAACGTGCTTTAAAATTTTACTTTGAGCTAATGAAAAAAGCAATTCATACTGAGTTTTAACAATAAATAGACTAACAAGCAGGACAGCAGAACTTTCATTGAGTAGAAGGAGGATGCCTTTGTGATCGGCCTCTTCCCTTTGTAGCCAGCTCAAACCTTAGCTGGAGCCGAGTGTGTAGTGTAGAAAATCTTCTTTATAAGCATATTATTCCTGCACCAGTTGGCATAATTAGCACTAAACAGATAAAAGGTGTGTAGATGTTAAGGTCAGTTTGCTCTAGCTCTTCTCTACTTCTTTCGCAAATTAAACTTTTTTGTTTGTTGCAACTACACAACGGTTTATAACTTTGCACCTTTTGCATGTAATAGTATGCAATCATGGTCGCAGGGTTATAAAAAAATTGGTGTTTCTTTGGTGGAGATTCAAAGAACTTGAAGACAGATATTCACTACTAACAGATAGTCATACAAATAGAAATTACTGAGGTCTTGCTCTGTGTCTTCCAAAGTGGTACCAACTTGATTTTGAAAAAGTACTTGTAAATTTGCAAATTTGCGGAGCAGATGCCGGGTGGATAAGCAGGCTGAATAACAATCGTCTTATCATTTAAGTACAATTTTTTGCTGGTGTTTAAACTGAATAGCGACACAAACCTGCGCAGAACAATAAACGAATTTAAATTTTAGTATTTTTGCTTTACCTATCCATGATTTCAGAGTAGATACAAAAGTCTTATATTTGTGGTATGAGTAAGAAAGTGATCTGAGGGAAGCGACTGACTCTTGAACAAAAAATACTCACGAAACGAAGTGAGAAATCAGTGACGTTCACACTAATTTCGTCAAACGTCCGCGGTTTTTTATTGTTTTAACATCCCAAAACTGAGGCTTGGAATAAGTATCTCTTTGGAAGAAATTGATGCTTATTTTGATACTGTTTCAGAGCCATTTTTGTAAGGTATACTTTAAGCATTTCAATCTGTCATTTTCAAAACTAGTGTTATTTAGACAATTGTCAAAATACTGCTTCTTGCTGATAGCAACAGGATCAGATCACCCGCCGACTTTTGCTGGTGTCAAAGAAACCGAGCTATACACCACCCAAGTTTTATTCTAAACAGTGGTGGGCAAGATAGCATTTGCAGTTCGTAATTGTATATTTTGAACGGAGTAGATCGGTTTTTCAATATCCTTTTATATTATATGCAATTAGAAAAATTTGAAAATCTGTTTGCGGACGAGGGCAAAGGTGAACATGCATTGCAAAAGAAACTTGAAATACTCAGTTCCGATTACTTGATTAATCAACAGGAAAACTGTGAATTACAGGAGAAAAAGTGAAATAAATTGTCGACACTGCAGCTTCGTATAAATACTTTCTTAGTTATTCTGTAAAGAACATTGGTTTTGAGAACTTTCCAACTTTTTATCATATTCTAGACATTATATCTCTCCTAAAAAACTTTTGAACTTTTTAGATAAATTTTG